AGAGTTCCGATTACTATTGGTGCAGCCTTAGTCTTCATTCCCCCCACATCCTGTTAATCTTGATCTCCAGGTCCTTTGTATTTAGACAATTTCTCGATAATTTTCATGGGCGTGTTTCTCTCAGATAGAACTGCTATGTCAATAAGCATACACTTCCTGAATTTTTTGTCTTTTATGATAATATCATGTCTGTTGGTTCTTATTTCCCTGCCAGTTTGAATTGGCATATCTCAGATATATATATTTTTTATTTCCTTTGATTTATAGTCTATATTCATTTCTTTCCGGGTCCCAACCAGAAACCTAATGTCAGAAATTGCATCATGACATTTTCCACTGAGCTGTTTTGAACAAAAAAAATCACACATATTTTACATTGATAAAGCCCTTCGTAAGTTGTGAGCTGTACTTGTGAGAACAATTTTTTGTATTTCATTAAGGCATGGGCTACCTTTCAATAAGTCTACTGGAATTATTTGCAATCAATCAGAGAGATCCAACTATTACTGGAATTTTTGATGACCTCATGTGCCACATTTATTATTATTATTATTATTATTATTATTATTATTATATCGTTCGATTTGTGATGTATACAAATTTCCTTCCGGGTCCCAATCAGAGACCTAAGTTCAAAAATGACTTCATGACATTTTCCACTGATAAAAAACTAAGGTCACACATATTTTGCATAGATAAAACTCTTCGTAATATGTCATCTGTAATTCCGAATACAAACTTTCGTATTTATTTAAGGCTCTAACTACAGGTAGAATTATTGATATCCTCATGCACCATTTTTTTTAGATTTCCTCTTCAATATCCTTGTATTTTGATGGTTTTCTTTAAGATCTTTCAAATTAATCTACCCATGATTTTTCATTTCGAATCAAAAAGGAATTTGTATCTTGCAGAAATTCAAATACTCTTATGTATACATGCACATATCTATGTATGTATGTATGTATGTAAGAATGTGTGTACAGTATATGTTGCTTAAGTAGAGCAGGCCTCAATTCCGTGTAGCCCATATTTGAGAATGGATCAAGTGATGGCATTCCTTGAAATCATGTCACAGCCATTATATATACATATCAGGTGTAACAAAATTGTTCAAATCGTGTAACACCAAAATTGTCCAAATATTAGATTAAGCTCTAAACTATTGTATCTTAGAAATGATTAAAGATATCTTACTGGAATTCTCCAAGGTTTTTATAACACTATTGGATTCTGCTTTGAGCAATAAGAATGTATAATTACTATCCAAGCTTAACAGAAGAATCGTGGTGAAATCGATCATAAATGAAAATGACATGTTCATCATTAATTAAACATAGCTAAAGATCAGAAGCTCATGAAGGATTGAAATTAAATTCATATATATATATATATATATATATATATATATATATATATATATATATATATTATTTCAAAATAATTTCCGAAGTTATTCAAAAGGATCATTGCCCTCTTTAACCTTCTAACTTTCTGTCCTGGGGTAACAAGTTGCTTCACAGGTTTCAGGTGCGATTTCATTTTCAAGTTTTTTTTCATTGACCTTTGAACTGTCATAGCTGAAACTCCTCATTCACGTGACAAACGTCTTATGGATTGAGTTGGATCTTTTCTAATTGATCTCTTTAGCTCTCCACTATTTCCATTTTTTTTTTTAAATTCATTCACCGTTCTTTACATGGTTCTTGAATGAACGTTGAAGATGGAAACCAGGTTATGAATGTTGTTACCATTACTGAAGGCCTGAATTACCTTTTTCCTTTCACCATATATATATATATATATATATATATATATATATATATATATATATATATATATACAGACAAACCTGTCATCTACGGACCCCGCCCCAATCAACGGAATTCGCACGGAACGAACAAAATCTGTAGAGAAAAGTTTTTAAAATCTGCATTGTTTTTTTTCCAAAATTTACGAGTTTAGCAGAATGAGCCATATTAGTTCTCAAAGTGACCGCATGGAGACGGTGGTGGCCCCTTCAATTGTAAACAAAGACGGAAAGTACGATACATTACCGTATACGTGAAAATGTAGCTGTGAGAAATTTTCTTTCTTATTCTGATTAATATATCTGTATTAAGTATATATTCATTTATGCCATATATATATATATATATATATACACACACACACACACACACATATATATATGTGTGTGTGTGTGTGTGTGTGTGTGTGTTAAAAAAGTATTTACATTATGTACATAACTACTGGTAGTTGAAACTGTGATCTAAACTGTTCAACCTTTGAACTCTGTCTTTGGCAGGGAGGAACCCGGACGAGGCTTTGCCGAAGGGCAAAGTTTCGTCCGGGGAGGTAGACAGACCCTAAACCCGTTTATACTGGTTCTGAGGGAATATTTTTGGCCAAGCCTATGGGCTCGGAGAACCCATGGTAAACTCGACCTTGTGCCACATACATCACTCGTGAAGTGGGGCTGTTAAATATTAACTACTGGTAGTTAGTATCGTGGTTTTATACCTCAAAATAATTTATGCCCATCTATTAGCCCGTTGATCTGTATATATATATATATATATATATATATATATATATAAGCATGTCTGATGAAACAATTTAGACATGGTGTGTTTGTTTATTTTCAATAATGTCCTTTCGTAATCACTTATAAGCTTTCTTGTTTCCTGATTAAGCGAGGAAGGTACCGTGGTTGTATTAATTCATTTTCTCAGAGTACTTTTGATATATTCCAATATCATCCTCAGTTTTATGATGGCTAAAACAAATGGTAACACAGCTATTTTTCTTAGGCATCATTTCAGTTACCCTCTTTCTGCCTCTATCTCAGGTTTTCTACGCTTTTTTTTATGATCTATCTCTCTATTACAGTATATGTGTTTGTGTGTGTCTATGTGCCTCCCTGTCTGTGCATATGTATGTATTTCTGTATGTATTTCTGTATGTACGAGTGGTCGGTGTCTAAACCGGCTCCACACCTGTTTCCAGTGGTAAGGAAACTAGTATGTTATCGCGCAGGACGAAAAAAAGTCTGTCATAGAACGGCTGAGCTTCTTATACGATCCAAAAGGATAAATAACACACACACACACACACATACATACATATATATATATATATATATATATATATATATATATATATATATATACTAGAATAATCCTAAAGAGCCAGGCAAACCTATCTAAGCTTCAACTAAACGGATCTTCAGGGTAAAACTGAAATGTAGTTCAATACTCATTTCTTTGTTTCTAATGACATTTTTCTGTTTCTTAATACATTGCTTAGCTTTTTGAAGGTATCTTTCGATATCCCAATACAACTCCGGATTTTCCGTCTTCTGCTAAAACACCTTCTATATATTTAAATTTTTATACTTGCTGGATTTTGTTATTCCCATCTTGTTAGTCGCATATGGAACTCTTCTTTCTGAAATCGCATATTGAACTCTTACAAACGAGTATTACCACATTTATATATATATATATATATATATATATATATATATATATATATATATATATATATATATATGCGAGGATGTAGAAATACCTAGGTTAATGTCCAGAAGCACTTTTAGAACACTGTGTATATGGAAACCCTAGTCTTTTTAAGGACACTTCCGGAAATAAAGGACCCGCAGTTCTTGTTTGGGACATCCTTATAGGAGAAGGAAATCTCAAACTTGTGGCTCATTTGGTCTGTGGTGCATTCACCTTCTATTGTACTACGGGTACTATGGCCACTTGTGCGGAAAAGTGGATTTAGCGTTGAGCAATGTTCTATCCTTCAAAAAAGTAATCCGGGCACAAGAACATTTAGAACGTCTTACTAGATTATATATGTATGTATCTATACTGATGTGTGTCATTTTTAAATCTCATTTGTATGTATGTATGTATTGATGTGTGTAATTGTGAAATTATGTGTTTCTTTAAGTCTTGCATCCGTTTGTTTGTATGTTAATTTTCTTTAATTTATTTTTAATAAATTTTGTTTTCCAAAACAAAATCGGTCAGCCATGAAAATATTTTCTTTAATGAAATAAAATCTTTCTCGAATCAAAACCTTGAAACTTGTTGAAACTCACGCTACCGAGGTAAAAGCTTTTCGTAGTAAAATTTTTCATTATGATTTTTATCGAGGCTTTAATATCCTCGTTTTGAAAAGAAGTTTAGGACTTCACGAGTTCCACTTGCCTTTACTTTAAATTTCCCTTAAAAACGACGATAAAATATTCCTGGTAGGATTATTCAATGAATAGAAAAGAGGGTTTTATATGTTAGTGCTGACACGAAAATCCCATATTAGTATTCAGAATATAGAAAACAAGTTCATTTTCAACTTATGTCTACCTTCAAATTTTCTCTTTATGCTGTTACTATTATTGCTTTTTTCGCTAGGATAGGAATTCAGGAAAATGTACTGTTATTGAAGTTTAAAATAAATAAATGCAACATTTTGGGATACGGAGCTGTTCAATTAGATTTCCTGAGCGTGATATGAAACTACGATTTTTAAAATTAAGAAACTGTGAGCCATTGTGATTATGCGTAACACTACCCAATTCATCAGTTTTTGCTGATAGTTGTCATCACTCTCCTGATCGATAACAATAAGAAATTTCTTAACGTAAGGGGAAAAAAGCAAATGATATTTCCCTATATTTGAGTGGGTGTTCCTGTCTTTGAGATGCAGCGTGGCTGAAAAAATGCACATAATGATGCACGCATGCGCACTCAAACTATTTCTCTTCCGCTTAAGCGGATATTGACATGCAGAGAAATACAGAAAATAAATGGTTATAAATTGTTATTTGATAATATTACCATCGTGTTGTAAACGACCTCTTTAAGCGTCTTTATAAATAACTCTGATATTTCCAAAATGCACTTGTTCCGATAAATTCTTACTTAACCCTGGGTTTAAAAGATGAAATTAATCTGTCCACAATATAACACAATAAAGGTATATAGCATTCATCGATACAGTATCAATAATTTTGGTTTATTTTTATTACTTAGTATTAATTTAATCGACTGTGACTTCTGCCTGACTAAAGCTTGCTTTAATTTATTTGTGTTTAATTTGTAATCTCTTAGATAGATAGATAGATAGATAGATAGATAGATAGATAGATATGAGCCAACTAAGATAGATAGATAGATAGATAGATAGATAGATAGATAGATAGATATGAAGCAATTAAAATACATAGATAGATAGATAGATTTACTGTCTAAAAGATGTTCCCCTGTGAGAGAACGAGAAAATAGACTATGTCCGTTATCCCGATCATAGAATAAGGCGCATGCGAAAATAAACAAGACTCGAAAATGTTACGTGATATTTCAAAGGAATAAATATCCATAAGTTTTCTTTTGTGCACCTTATTATAAACAAGGCAAGATAACAGATCAAAATATAGCAAGTTATAGGCTCATAAAACGATTTACAATACAATCTTCAAATAATAGAAAAGAAAACTTGAGAAAATAATACAACTTTAAATAAGGTTGGAAATACTCTTTAAAAAGGAAACCTACGTAATCGAAAAACGAAAAAATGGAAGGGGTCTTTGGAAAATTAATTTGTATCACTGGGACCTCCACATTTTTCCATCTTTAGAACACAGTTTTATTCACAGGTCCTAATGCTTCTTTTTTTTCGGTTGCGTCTTCTGTAAAAAAAAAACAAAACAAACAAAAAACATGCCAGCTTGTCACAGTTGATGGTCAAAAATAGTTTTGTTTGTTTTGTTTTTTGGGTTTTTTTTTTTTTTTTTTTTTCCTTTTGGAAGCTTATTTTCCTGCCTCAGGGCGAAATTTTATGCTTCCTCCTCTTCTGATTTTTTTTAAATTTTCGTTTCGTCGAAATTCGTTATCATTACCTTCTCAATTTATCTGCTAACCCGCCTTCATATCAAAGAGCCCTCAGGTGGATCATAATTTTAGATTTACGTGCGTGGAAGCTACCCTTTTGATTGGATAATAAATAAAAAGAGTATATATTTTTCAAATTTGGAAAAGAAATTTGTAACAGTCCGACATGATCGAATTATTTTCGGCAGATCTTTTTTTTAACCAAATCTATATTTAGAAAATTTAACAGAAAAATGTAGTATATCAGATATAATTTCTATATTAACCAACTGGTTTTCTTTTAAATATAGTTCTGCTAAAATATATGTGAAAGACAAACCTAAGTTTTTTTATATTTATTTATGTACACTTTATTATTATTTTTAATAATTATTATTATTTTACGTTAATTACTAGTAAGAAATTTGTATACGTCTTTCAAAGATAGATAGATAGATTGAGAGAGACAGAGAGAAAGATAATGAACAGACTGAAAAAGATAATGAACAGACTGAAAAAGATAATGAACAGACTGAGATAGACAGATAGATAGATAGATAGATAGATAGATAGATAGATAGATAGATAGATAGATAGATAGATAGATAGATAGGAATAAAGATTGAGAGACTGAGAGACTGAGATAGATAGACAGGCAGTCATGCAAGCAGATAGATAGATAGATAGATAGATAGATAGATAGATAGATATGAGAGAGAGAGAGATAAAGAGAGAGAGAGAGAAAGAGAGGGCAAGATTATTTACTAAGGTTTAATCAATATAAGGTGAGAAAGCTACTCAAGATAGAGGTTTATTGTATGGAGTTGTATTAGCGTAATAAATAGCAAGAAGTGAAGTTTTTGATGCTATGCAGGAAAGATAACATCTAATCTTAGACTTGAAGAGGTCATGATTTAATGAAATTCAGGCGGAGACATTAGAAGTATAGAGTTAAGGTAGACTTTAAAAGGAACTATAAAACCTAATCCTAAACAGACAACTAGGGATAAACCTCTACTCCTATTCAAAAGACTGTGGAATAATGATAACCTGACCATAGGCGGACATATCGACTACTATTAAGAGATGAAAAGAATCTTACATTATAAAACCCAGGTTGTGTGTGTGTGTGTCTGTTCGTTTATATATTGAATCGGATTTCCTACATTTTTCAACCGATTTCAACAAAACTTCACAGAACTACGTAAAATTACCTTGCGGTGGTTCTGACAGCGCCAAAAATCGGAAAAACACAATTGTTTTTGTATAAAATCAATTTTAAAACACGATTAAGAGGTCTCGCTGTTTCGAGAATGAAAGGGGAACAACTCATATCGAGTTATACTTATAAAACCCAGGTTGTGTGTGTGTGTGTGTGTGTGTGTGTGTGTGTGTGTGTGTGTGTGTGTGTGTGTGTGTGTATATATGGGATCGGATTTCCTACATTTTTCAACTGATTTCAACAAAACTTCACTTTTTTGGCAGGTAGTGTTTCTTATTGTCTTGCATACTTTTTTCTTTATTTTTACATTCAGAATGCTTTAAAAATTCCATTTACAAGACAATTGTTTATAATAAAATTCTATTCAATCGGCAGACTCATAACGATTGAAAACAATGTTTTTGTTTGAATTTGGGTTTGACCAATTCGTAAAAAAAAAAAAAAAAAAAAAAACTAATTAAGACATGCGTGTCCGTCAACCTTAATTAATAATCTTTGTCAATTTTATTTTTCAGTCTTTATGATGGTCGATACTTGATCTATCTCTTACTGCTACATCCCCGGGCAACGCCGGGCTCTACTGCTAGTTATAGAATAAAATTTCAGAGTTCAGGCAAAGACGTCCGAAGTAGAGAGTAAAAGGATAGGGTGAAGCCAATCCTAATTAGGAAACAAGGGATAGAAATCTACTTATGTCCAAAAAAAAAAAAAACGCGGGAGAGTACGAACTAAACGATAGGCGAATCTATTCACTCTTACTTGGGGAGGAGAAAAATAAAGAATATATATAGGGAAAAAAAGTCTTCAGATAGAGACGTTACAAGTATAGAGTTAGAATGGACGTTAGAGGGAACCTAGTACTAAACAGGGAAAAAGTTATAACCCTCTAATCCTGTTCAAAAGACCCTCAAGAAAACATAAAATAAGAACAAATGTAATATGCAATAATACAAAATTAATGGAGAATAGATGGATAGTTAGATAGATAGATAACAAACAGATTGAGATAGATAGATAGATAGATAGATAGATAGATAGATAGATAGATAGATAGATGTACTGTCTTTCAACAAGGTCCTTGCCATTCCGTGAAATTCACGAACGTCTGATACTGTCATCAAATCATTTGGAAATTACATTCCGATATGACCAATCACTGCTAATGAACCCAAGCTTAGTGCAGTTAAAAACATGAACTTTGGATGCTATTTAATAGTTTAATTAGTTTATGGTATAAACAATAGTATCTATTGATATTTTGCGAAAGCTGATATACAATGACTTGCCTCTGTCGATGTAAAGGATTATAATGGTGACGTCGTAAACAGCATTTTATTTACGTCTAGAATCATAAAAAAACGATGACTCTTTTCCTCTTCTTTTACAATATGGGTATTCAAAAACAATAGCGATTAAAAAAATACAAAACAAGCGATAAATAGCTTAATGAGGCCATCTAAGTTAAAAATCTATATACCTATATATCGGACATCTATATCAACTCATGATAAAGTCGTATACATAGCCAGAAAGAACTGTTGGAACTACTAGTTGACTGTGGAATATTTGGTAAGAATATTAGAATATTCCAGAACTTATACTAGTAGAAAACAGCCTGCATGCGGATAGAAAACGAATTCAGTAAATATATATATAGCGTGTGAGTGTAAGACAAGGATGTGTCTTCTCATTGGATTTATTCAAACTATGCAGTGTGGCTATTATGAGAGAATTAGAATGCATAGCATGATTCATTATTGGCGATCACAATGTTAACAACATAAGATATGCACAGTGACAATAGCAGACACAGAAAAGGAAATTCAAGAATTCCTATTGAAGGTACTTAAAGAAAGCGAGAAGAAAAGACTAAACATCAATTGTAATAATACAGAATATATGGTTGTCAGCAAAAAGAAGAGTTCAATATACAACTTACAAGATGGGAATAACAAAATCCAGCAAGTATAAAAAAAATTAAATATATATACAGTGTTTTAGCAGAAGACGGAAAATCCAGAGTTGTATTGACATATCGAAAGGTGCCTTCAAAAAGCTAAGTAATGTATTAAGAAACAGAAAAATGTCATTAGAAACAAAGAAAAGAGTACTGCACTACGATGTAATAGCAGTCCTCCTATACACCAATACTAGATAATCCCATCACAGATGAAAAAGAGAATTGAAGCAGCACAAATGTCGTTCTACAGAAGGATGCTGAGAATATCATGTACTGAACATGTGAGCAACGGCGAAGTTTTAGAGAAAATGAAAACAATAAGAAAACATATATTTAACATCAGAAAAAGTTGAAATTTCGAGGGCGCGTAATAGGGAAAATCTTTGGTACTCACAGGCCAGATTGAATGCGAGGGTGGGGCGTAGGTAAGGAAGGAATAACTTCCTTAAGGAGCTTGTGTAAATAGGTGGAAGAACAGGGATTAGGAGAGATAGCAAAAAGATAAAATTTATTAGGAGTTACAAAGTGCAGGAAATTGTGGAGAGCTATGTTCGCCCTTGTCCTGAAGGGACACAGTAGAGAGGAGACAAACAAATTCACTCCTCCCAGTATACATGATACTATGGTTTTGTTTCAGCCCAAGATAAGCTTAATAAATCTTAATGAAACCAGTTGACTGAAAAACACTCTTGTCTCTTCTATCATTAATATATTTAAGCCTCTTTTTTCTAAATCCTTTAATCCCAATGCCACTAGGACACAAGAAGTTTCTGAGTGTTAAAAAATATGAAAGGTGAGGTTCTACAGAAGGATGATGAGAATACCATGGATGGAATATGTGAGCAATGAGGAAGTTTTAAGGGAAATTAGAACAAAAAGGGAGGCTATACTTAGCATCAGAAAGGGGCAATTGAAATTTCTAGGGCACATTATGAGGAAAGTGGGTTTAGAAAATTTGGAACTCACATGACATTGAAGGCAGGATGGACAGAGGAAAATAGTGCCTAACCTACCTAATGAGCTTGGGTAAATAGGTGGAAGAACAGGGATTAGGAGAGATAGCAAAAAGACAAAACTTGCTAGGAGCTACAAAGGACAGGAAATTGTGGACAACCATAATCGCCAACGTTCTAAAGAAACATGTCAAATAGCAGTAGATATCAAGTAATAGCATTATTAATTAGTCATGAAAATATTTTCTCTGTATTTATATGACCTTATTCCTTTCAAGTTAATTGTATATTCCATTACATTAGATTGACGAAAGCGTTTCTAGCATTTTTCAGAAAAAAATTTTATTCAGATAAATTCAGAGCATCATTATTCATGTTATATATTGGGTATGGTTGCAACAGTAACAAACAGAAACATGGTATTGCCAGTGAGTCGGAAAGAGAGAAAACATATGTTAAAGTAAAATTGCCAGCATAATGGATCAAGATAGAATGTCTCTTTGGTGGACGAGAGAAGCGAACTTGATGAGAGAGTTTGTTGTTTACTGGCCTAGCATTGAATCCTGTGTTGGGTCGGTTAATCGAGAGACCAATGGTGAACTCCGTTAACTACCTACTATATACTGTTTTAGGTGATTCCGAGAAGGCCCTTTTAAGCAGTCAGGGTGGATACATGACTTAGCATATTTTTATCATGATTTTGTTTTAACGGAAACGTTCACGATTGACACCGACGTTTAAATTTTATCTTATATTTTTAGGATTTGTTTTGTGAGCCAGATGTGATGCTAGGAACCAGTGCGCAGAGAGCGACGTTTTATTTTTAATTTTGCTTTCGTAGCGTTGTCATCCGGTAGAAAGTTTTTGATGTGGAATGAATCAGAAAGAGTTCTAATTTGAAGCAGAATATAACTCAGTCTTTAAATATATATATATATATATATATATATATATATATTTTACTGTTTATGTCTTTATTCCACAACTCAAATTATTTATTCCATTATTTTAAGTTATTGCTAAAGTTTCAAGCATTTTTTAATGTTTTATTCATTGTCTCGTTATTCAGCCGTCAATGTATCTTTACTGGTTTCTATGGCCAAATACCAATCTTTGAATGTTGTCATGCTGTAAAATTACGGGTTGAAATAAATGTACAGAAAATTACTTCTTTTTTTCCAAATGTTTGGTAATAACTTGATTGATTCTAAGTTTTCTCATGTGATGTTTGTGGCACAAATTTTTTCAAATACTTCACTATGTCATCACTATTGAAAATTGGTATTCCAGAACGTTTTTTCTTTTTTTATTTTAATTTCAAACTCGTTAAATACATAATTAACACAATCTTCAATAAACCATTGCTTAGTTTCCCTAAAACATTTTCCTAGATTATATATGAAGGGTAACCGTTTCGAATGTGTATTTTTTAATCGATTCACCCTATGCAAGGCAGTAAAGCCACTAAGACACAAGTGGTTCCTGGGTGTGGAAGAATCAGAAACATTATTAATGAGTGGGAAGAGAAAAGAGTAATCAGGAGGAAAGTAGATCGCGACTTACTATTGCACTTAAACTTTTGCAGATTAATCTTGGCTGGAAAGCAAGGAGTCGGAAAGGAGTTCCACAAGCGAGAAGGGCGAGAAAAGAAACTGTTAGCATAGAATTTATGGGTTTATATTCAGTTATAATTTTCGCCAAATATAGAAAAATTATCAATTTTTTTGCAAGCACTTCATTAAGTTTATTTAATCAAACAATAACGGTAACGCTGGTTTTGTTTGTTTGTTTTTGTTTTTTTGTTGTAGTTTTGGTTTTGGGTTTTTTTTTATTTGCACGGGGGCAGTTTTAGTCAACTTAACAATGAATTAATTGGCGTTAATTCTACAAATCATCTACTTAATCGTACATTAACCATTCAATTCTTATGCATACATAAATATTTAAGAATCTAAGCTTACAAACATCTTAAGTAAAGTTGATACATTACAAGCCTTTTAAAATAGAACAATGAACGAAGAAAGGCTACCTGTGTTTATGCGTCCATTAGTGTCTGTCTGTCTGTCTCTCCCTCTCTCTCCATCTCTCTCTACATACATACATACATACATACATACATACATACATACATACATACCTTATCATTTAAGCATTAATAATTTTTTTTAAATTTTAAAATTAAATTTTTTAAGTAATAAAAAAAAAATGAAATACAGTTTTCCAGACTCAGGAAAACGCTAGAACACTCAAGAAGAATTAACAAGAACGGTCACTGTCTGAAAAACCGGATGTCAAATTGCTGCCATTGAAAGAGAGGGAGAGAGAGAGAGAGAGAAGTAAAGAAATAGCAATAAGTAGGGGAATATAAAAAGACGAGAAAAATGACAAAAAAAGAGAAATAATCCCATTTTACACGTAAGCACATACGCGCAGTCGGACGCATGCACGCGCCAACGCACACACACACACACACACACACATACACACACGCATACCCACACACACACACACGCAGTAGACAAAGAAAAAAATCAACCTTGCATCAATGCTAAGTACATATATAAGAGAAAAACGAGAAAATAAACAGTCAATTGCTGATATACCCTGAGGAGTGGACGAATTAATTACTGGAGGTTCCGTCTACGAAACTCTGGAGTCGGGATGCTGAAGATAACACCAATCGGCTAAGTGAAAATTTTTATATTTGTATTGATTCTAGATATAGATATATATTAATATATATAAATATAGATATACAGGGTGATTGAAAAGTAATTAATTCCCTATTTTATGTATGATGGACTTTCTCGTCTATCTATAATTTTTACAAGACGGGAGAGTCCGTCATACATAAAATAAGCAGTTGCTTTTTAATCACCCTGTATATTTCAGATATATTTGAATGAATAATATAGACAAGTTCTGTCTATCCAATTTTCAAAGATTTCGGGGTTTTTTTTTTTATATAACTGATTTTTGGTTAATCTGGAAACAAATATAGCAAGATTCGAAAGTACTTGTGAAAACTATAAAGAAAAATGAACTTTGGTAAACTTACAGATTTTATAAAATAACTAATTGGAAAATTTGAAAAAATTAATTTAAAAAAATAAAATAGAGCTTATCGATATTATTCAACCAAATATGTTTCAAAGAATTCTTGATAACTAAA